GGAATAGATTCGTAAATTGGTGATATTCTTTTGGAACCAATTCTTTCCATCCCTTTTTGCTTTGGTATTTCTTGTCCTGGATTGCTAGCTCTGTACTGATGTTGATTTTTGCTAGAACTGCTTTTTCGTCTTTGTATGTCCATTTGAGAATTCCTGTTGTATCTCCTCTTCGATAGTACCGTTCAAAGGCTTGTACTGTAATCTCTTTGATCTCAATTCTTTTTGTTGTATCAAGCTGCTTTTGTTCTGTACTTCCAAATCCCTTGCTTCCTCTTGTAGTTTCTTCTAGTGGATCTACTTTATGCAGATCTTCTTTGTTGATTTTTTCGATTATCAACTGTGCGATTCGATCGCCTTTCTGGACTTGGTAGTCGTCTTGAGCTAGGTTGGCCAGGACCACTTTGATTTCACCTGTATAGTTGACGTCGATCACCCCTGCCATGGTCTTAAGCCGATCTTTGACCGCTAGACTACTGCGGGGTGCTATTCGTCCGTAGGTGCCTTCTGGAAGTCCAATGGCTATTCACATTGCTATTGTTGCCTGCCCGTTGGCAGGTATCCCGATTCCTTTGTTGGCATATAGGTCGTGTCCTGCTGCTCCTTTGGAACCCTTGGTAGGCACTCTCGCCTCTTGGTCCAGCCTTTGTATCCAGACTCTCTTATCTTACCACATCTCGGCTAACTTTGCCTGTAAAGTTTCTTCTTCCACTTCTCGTATTGGTGTTGAGTAGACCACAGGCGAACTGTTGAGACATCGTATCGCACATAGTTCGCTTGTAAAGGTCATCTTGTTCTCGTTCCAATCGATCGTCGGATTATGCTTTCGTAACCATGGCATTCCTAGGACTATCTCATGGTTTTTTAGATCTGCTACTTGAAAGGTTGCTGTTTCCCTCTGGCTGTCAATGTCCATAGGTACTGTCGCCTTATGGGTTATAGGACCCATAGCGCTTGGCGTTCCATCCGCTAAGTAGACTTGTCTCTCTTTCTTTGCTTGTTTGGTGTGGAGGTCGTATTTGTCGCATATTTCTTTATTGTATATCTTCATTTTGATCATCACATGATCTCCATCTTCTTCTCCTCTTTGTGTATGTAGTGCCGTGTCGTAGTTCGCTAACTTGATGGGTTTTCCAAGTCCACATCTTGGGTCTCCCAGACCACCGTCTACTAGGGACCCTCGTTATTTTCCGTTGGTGAATCTTCTGCTATCATTTCGCGAATGTTTCTCCTTTTTTGATTTTGGAAACGATTATTTCCAGCAGCTCTGTTTCCTTGGTATCCATTGTCGGGTCGGCTTCTGCATTCTCGTATTCGATGTCCTGCTTTTCCGCACCTCAGGCAGAGTTTCCTGTTCATTCTTCTGGCGTATTCTTCATTAGACAGGTTCAGAGCAGGTCCTGCTCTTGATTTGTCTAACTCCATTGGCTCGTCTGGTGGTAATGCTTGACTTTCTCCTCCAGCCACTTGCAGTTTGAAGGTCTAATCCACATTCCTGGATAATTGGACTACCCTATGCGCTATAGTGTTTTCCGAGTTGCTTCAAACCATTTTTAATTTGCTTTCTTTATTAATCGCCCATCTTGCAAATTGTTCTGCTGTCATATAGCTCAGGTCAGAGATTCTCCATGCCTCTCTGAGTCTCTTCCTGCAGTTTCTCAGGAGGATGATGCAGAGAGTAGTATCATCAAACTCGGCCTCGTATTCCAATAGTCGGCATTCATTCCAGTATGCCGAGAATGTTTGTTTTCCTTGTTGCAGTTTTTCTAGCTTTCATCTTGCTGTTTCTTTGGTATTGGGATCTCCGAATTGTTCGAAGAGTGTCGCCTTGAACTCTTCGTATGTGACCCATTCTCTTTGCTTCCTACCATCTTGGAAAGGCATGATCTATTGTCCCGCAAGTTCTCTGAGTAGAGATTTCACGTATGGAATCTTGATCTCATCATTGTGATCTCCATATCCCTTAACAGCAAAATATCCTTCGCATTGCACTAAGAATATTCGTAGCTTGTCTTCAGCTACTTCGTATATGTCGGATTTCTTTGCTTTCGGCCTTTGGACATTTCCTTGTCCTGTATTACCTGTGGCTGCGAGAAATGCCTGAAACTGATTTTCAGTCATTCCAAGTATGCTGGTTCCGGGTGCCGGAGCGGCTGGGGCCAGTGGCCCAGGTACTGCTGATCCCGATATTCTCTCGGGTCGTGGAGTTCCTGCAGGAAAGCTATTGACTGGTAATCCTTTCTCTGGAGTTACTGGGCTTGCTGCTCTCGAGAGTTCTGCTGAGATGTAATCTAAGGTGTCATTGAATCCTCCCAGGTTAAGGTTTTGATTGTCGATGTCAATATCTCCTTCCCTGTCTGGATTGAAGGATGCCGTCTTGTATCGTTTGGCGTCACACTAGGTGATGCTTTGTAATGTAACTATCCCTCTCTTGATAGTTAGTTCTTGGCGACGGAGAGTGATACTTCTCTTTCTGTCTTCTTCTTTCTTCGTCTTATGATAGCTCTAGGCCTCTGCCTATGTTACCGATAGTACAAGACCTTTGTTTTCTATCGGGAACGCCTATCGTAAGCTTTCTCTAACTCGTATTCGTGAAGAACCTTTCTTGGCGTAACAATAATATTGCAATAAAGATAAAGATCGTAAAGATGTTTTATATTCGTTAAAGTAATAAGTAGGAAAAGTACTTAGAACAAAGCATGAAGAACCTATCTTCCTTGGCCGCCTTGGCCTCCTTATATAGTATTCTTCCTACTCATAGTCATGTGACCTAAAGTGGTCACATGCGCAAAACCAAATCATAACAAACTAGTCATGTGACCAAAGTGATCACATGCTCAAAACCCATGACCTCATAACGAGGCCATGTACAAAAACTTATAAACCAATCATAACACAATAAACAAGTCATATGACTCGACTGAGTCATATGCGCGAAACCCATGACCTCATTATGAGGTCATGTGCGAAACATAAATCATATGCGCAAGGCTTACCTGCAAGGCACACTCGCAAGGCATACTTGGCAAGCGCACATCCCATGACTCATACTTGAGCCATTTGCGAAAGCATCACAAATCCCACACATAACAAATCATATAACCCGAATGAGTTATATGCGTAAAACAACAACATACCTGTGACTCATAACCATGTGTCACGTGAAAACCTTTTCCATGCCAAGCCACATTCGTGACATGTTTATTCATTATACGGTAGGCGGTTGCAGGAGAAATATTAACTCCAGCTTCCCAGGCAATCTCCTGGAATGTTTGAAGACGGGGCTCGATATCTTGAAGAGCGAGGGTTCTCATTCAGTCAGATTCTGCAGACCCAGGAGGATATCGTTGCGGAACAGCAGGTGCTTCACGAATGGTATTGCCTAACTCAACAGCAGCTAACATTTCTTTGATATTGTGACTGTTTGACAAGTATTCCTATCTACCGTGCAAATTATTAATTGCTTAATTACAAGATTAAACTATTCTTTTTAGATTATACTCACCTCAATTCTCTTGAAGATTTGTCTGGCTGTTTCTTTCTTAACTTGTAGGCAGGTTGACAGCTGCTCAAAGGTCATCTGAGCACAGACATGAAGAGCAATAATAGCTGCTTTTAGCGACTTTGAATGGCTCTTTCCCTGAGGCATTGTGGACTGAGTTCACAAGGGCCTTTCCCGGAAGCGTTGTGGACTGTATTTGAAAGGTGCTTTTCCAGAGATATTGGGCATAGAGTTCGATGGTGTTGAACTTCCTTGCCGCACATTTAGGCAATCTTGACTGTTTCTGATACACAGGTAATAGTTGCGTACTATTCACTATACATCTTTGGTGGAAAAGAACTGTTCCCATGCCCAACGACAAATGGGGAAGGCAAATCTTGGCTGAGAAGCACGAGTAGGCGTTTTGTCTCTGATTGCTGAGATTCACGATGGTAGATTTATGATAGCGGGTTTTTACGGTAAGGCTAACGTGTCAGGGTTGCAGCACTCGTCCAGTCTTGTACTCGTAGGGGTTTTGGTGATAGTCTCGGTCACACAGGATTTTGTTGCAAGTCCGTGGGTTCACCCTGCCTGGTCCCTGCGTGAGCAGCTGTGACTCCGGATCGGGGTTGGCGCTGGACCCGCGCATTTTTTTTTTGTGTGGCAAGGGGGCGGATGATAGGGATAAATATAATATATCGCCTAACAACAAGCGAAAGGAAGGCCAATCACATGGACCCCGAGGAAAAGCCGCAAAAGATGCCAGAGAGCGGTGCAGTCCCGAAAGGGCCGTGAAAAATATCATACTAGGCCGTGACGAATAGGAATCAGCATCAGCTATTTTTTGTTACCCTACTTTGGCCGTTTTACTTTTTTTGCCTGCCAAATACCCCTGTCCGTCACGGCCTGGTATTCGTCACGGTCTGGTACTCGAGTATTCGTCACGGCCCGGTTGTGACTGCATCCGCAATTGGTTTGATCATCTCGGCTGTGTTTGGATCCACTGACCGAGTCAAACAGTGGGTCAGAGAGTGGCCAGGTTAGTAACTCGATGCGGTTGAGACGGGTTGCAGTGCACAACGGTAGTTGGTGGGTGGAGGGCTGACTAACATCCCTTCATATCCTTCGGACCTTCGCTTCGAATCTTTCCCCCAGCAACCAGTTTTTCATTTCCCCTTTCCCTTTCAACAACCCCTTGCTAAAAAAGGACAAGATTTCAAAGAATTGGATTGTTCTCATTCCCCTCCCGGCTTCCAAGCCTTCAACCTGTTTCTCACCTAAGCCATTTTTTCCCCCCTCTCCCTTAACTCCTGTTACTCCTCCCCCATCTTAACCCTATTGGGGTTACAACAGCTCGCCAAGCCAACCACCTTGCCTCTTTGCGTAGTAGCTTCTCAGCATTCATCAGAGATAGCCAACCAACCAAATACTGACTCCCGCTCGACACTCTATTCCCGTACCCAACCTTTTTTCTCCTCCCACCAGAACCTCTCTACCGCTGACCCGTTGCAACCCCCCTGAACCTAACCCTAACCCACCTCTCCCCCGCTCAACGTCACCTCATCTCAAGTAATAGAGGATACTACTACTAACCGTTCAACAACCCCCTTAATCAAGAAATATTCCACGGTAATCGCCTTCCCCGTCCCTGTTTACCCCATCGCCCTCGAAATCCCGATGTCTGTGGATGTTTTCGCTGACTTTTTAGGGGCTAGTCGTTCTAAGCGAGCTCCGAGTTTTGCTGTACATACGTTTATGCCAGCTTGAGCCGGCTTGTATCATGGTGGAGAAGATTTCCATACAGAGTCTGCGGAATAACGCCGTGAGCGTGAGGCTAGAGGAGCGAAAGTGAGTTATTCTTTATTATTTTGTTCGTGAAGTCCCTCCTTTTTCCCGCTCAGTATCCCTTTTCCGACCGACGATAAGCTCGTTGCCATGTCACGTCGCGTATCGTGATTATCAAAAAATAAAATGAAAACAACGAAAAACCGGAGGAAAGAAGGAAGGGGAAAAAAAAAAAAAACCACTTCACTTTTACGGTCGGAATTGATAATCAATCCACCACCTCAATTTCAATTGATAGTATTACTTCTAGCGATCAGTTGTTTCTAATGTCGGTTCTAGAAATCTCATCGTCTCGCGGAAACGAAAGTTACAGGAGGTCTACGCAGCATGTCGCCACATCGACAGAACAAAGCCTTTCCCAAATGCTGATATCGTCAAGACATGGGGGACAATTGAGCGATATGAGGGGGCAAATATGGAGGACGGCGAGAAGAGGTTTCTTGAGGAGAATGACATCGAGAGGTAATTTATTCTGTGAGCTTTATGGATGTTGTCGATGTTAATCGTTTCCTAGAGGTCGTTTTTTCCAAGAATCCACACTTCCACCACATTCTTCATACCTGCCTGAGCCTGGTGGATTCCAAAGGGCGCTCGCTACTCAATTAACGCCCCATCATGCTGCAAAAACAATCTCGCGTCATGCGACACCCTTATCTACATCTGTCTTCGAGAAACCTCCACAAGTGCTTGAGCATCCGACAGTTTCCCGAGAAGCCGAACTATTAGCTGAGAAGGGGGCGCGACATAGTTTTGATGCTCGGGGTGGGATGGAGGACCAATCACCCGCAAAATCTGTTATCACAAATGGGAAACGATCGAGCGAAGCACCAACAGAGGATGGCTCGGTGGATTCGGAAGCAACTGAAGAGGATTTGGGGTCACTCTCTCATGTCGTTGAACCCTCCGAACGGGTAAAGCCAAGGAAAGCGGCGCCAGTCATTAATATTGGTGGAGTTCCAGTAGTTCAGGAAGCGGTTACAAAGGCTCCGGATGATCATGAACGGTCGCTTGGAGTTCGCCCGCCACCGATACCCTCGGAACTTGTGAACGCAACGAGGGGCAGCGCTACGCAAACCGCGGCAGTACAAGATGAGAAGACCGAGGAGCGGGATGCTCGTGCGGAGGAGGCTAGGTCTACAGAGTCAGCTGCGGTCAAGAGTTTTGGCGATTCTGCACGCGAAGTACCGGATTCCTTTGAGTCATCACAGGTTTCATCGCCATCCGAACCCCCGAGTCCTGCTCCTTCAAAAGGCACGGTTCTTGAGCTTCGAGAAGAGCCCCGGTTGCCCGTGACGTCCCCACAAATTCAACAGACCCCCCCACAACCACCTCTGGTTATCATTACCAACAGAGAAAATCACACCTCACCCGTTCCTCCCTCCAAGCCACTGTCAGGGCATGCTTCGCATTCGGATGTTTACTCGCCTGCATCCTCAATCGACGATGATAACCGAAGTACTCCCGGCAATATCTTGTCTTCTGCAACCAGCCCGGATGCTAACCACATGTTAGGCCCAGACCCTCGTTCGGAGGAGAGCAATGGTCAAGTCAAAGAGGTTGTTGCTGAGTCCGGTCCCTACGGCGTTATGACTATGCCTGCCAAGGAGGCAGAGGAGGAAGAGTTGGCCGGGGCATTTGTGGAGAAGATTGTGCCTTGTGGCGCACAGTGTGAAAAGCCATTGCCTTCTGTCGTGGCTGCTAAGGGATTCGTCGCGGATGAGGAAGAGACGAAGTCTCAATTATCCACTATTCCACCCCTGGAGTTCACGAATGGAGGGGAACCTGATCTTGCTGCAGTCGAAGCTGGAGCAGCGATTACCATTTCGAAGGCCGATGATCTATCAGCTAGAACCAAGAAATCTGCATCACCGGACCCTTCGGCACAGTTGAGATTGGAGAATTCGCTCGCTCGGGATGATGTTGCCGACCCTGATTCATTGGCTAGCGAGGGACCAATTTCTTCACAAAAATTGGCCGGGGTAGGCGAGACACATGATGAAGACCTCGAGGATCGGGTGCAACTTGTGGGCAGTCGCGAGCCCGAACCCAGGGCTGCTGGACCGATGAGGGAACTTGCGGAGGATGTGAAGGAAGTTAAGGACGTTTCCGAAACCATGGAGATTGATATTCCGGATAGAGTTGGAGATATGGGCGCAACGAGCCATGATACTGTCATGTCTGGCGTTGATCAACCTGTGGCTCACAGGACTACACCGGGGACACATGCCGGCGATATCTCCGTAGGCACCATTTCTTCCGAGCAGCACAGTTTAGAGGCATCCACTCTGCAAGAGATTGATGATTCTAAAATGGAGATCGATCACACCGCAAATGAGCGGCACGATGAAGCGGAACCGCCGAGTAAAGTACCGACTCCGGACGTGAGTACATTTGTTGGCGCCACAACATCACCCGGTAGCCCTGCGAGTTCCATGTTCGGGCCCGGAAGTGGGGAGGAGGCACCCTCTACCGATAGAATGGCAGTGGGCAGAGCCGAGTCTGATAGTTCCCTGATTCCAAGCACATCACCAGTAAAACAACCCTTACGAAGGCCAGAGACGCGCAAAAAGCAGGCCAAGCTGAGCAAGGTAGTCATCTCTTCAACACATCATGCCTTGGCCGCCCTTGAGGAAGAGGCTAAGCGACTACACGAGGATCAAATTGCTCAAGGACCGATTGTTGTTGCTCGGCGTAGGGACCAACAGGCAGCTTCTGCAGCAGCACGACGGAGTGCAGTCTTCCAGCCCGGCAGTAGAATTGAAGCAATTACTCGATACGGTATCGCAGAGCCACCATCGGAGGAAAAGAGAAGAGTAAAGAATGCCGATATGTTCGACGTTGTGTATACTGCCAAGGCCTCAGGAACCCTGATATCCGATCTACTCCAACGATCAAGCAAGACTCTGACTACAGGTGACCACCAGGTGCATTACTTCGAGACTCAGGCGGTAAGGATCGAAAATCGAATCATTGAGCTTCAAGATCAGGGGCTTTGGAGTTTGCGACAGATTCCCCGGGTTGTAGAACCGCGAAGGAGGAAATGCCATTGGGATTACCTTCTTGAAGAGGCGAAGTGGCTTCGAGATGATTTTAAAGGGGAGAGGAAATGGAAGATTGCTATGGCAAGGCATTATGCAAAAGAAGCGGTCAGGTGGCACCAGGCAGGGGAGGAGAGATGTCAGCTACAGATTGATAGGAAACTGCTCGGTGTTGTGCCTAAGGGAAAACGGGAGGAGCGGAGAAGGGCTGCGCGTATTGAAATGCAGGATAGTGATATGAACCAACCCACACCCGATTTAGTAGATGGTTGTGGATCTCCGGAAAGCGATGACGACTTTCCGATGGATGACAGACATCATGATACGGATCAGGGTAATTTTGCCCATATATATGAACCACCTGCGACCCTTTTCACGCTTTCGCCTGAGGAGACGGTGTTCGCTATGCCAGCTTCAAAGGCAGCAGATGATATTTTGAGTCAGCTGCCGTTATACGGTCCTCCCGAGCCTTCTGCTGGGCGACAAGAAGAGGTGGAGGAGGAGTGGACGAAATTACCAGTTGTTGCCATTTCAAAGTATGCAAGTGGGAAGCTAGTCATCCAAGAAGAACAAGGTCCCCCATCCAAGAAGAGCAGATACGAATATGAGGAAAACCAGGACCCCTACGCAGACGATTCCGACGAAGATGAAAAACTAGGTGGCGGTAGGCTAATCGGGCGCGGCAAGAGGGACAAGTTACGAAAGCCATCATTTCTTCCACCCGAGCAGACGAACGTTGCATTGTTCAAGCCAGAATACAAACCGATACTACAAAGGGTGCACAATACTCATGTTCCGCGCTTGCCCAGTGACTTTCCGCCACCCCCTTTCTTTGAAAATCGGCACCCAAGCTTGTGGTTGGCATCTGAAGATGAAATGCTCAAAACTCTTGTCCGAGAATACCACTATAACTGGGGGCTTGTTAGCCAGTGTCTCACACTTCCTGGCGACTGGCATTCTGGCTCAGAAAGGAGAAGTCCTTGGGAATGTTTTGAACGCTGGATTGCCCTTGAGCCCATTCCACCCGAATTTTCTAAGAGTCCACACTTTAAGCCAATCCAGCAACGTCTGGATGTCGCAGCAAGAGTAAACGGACTGTATGGTAATGTGCCCGGCTCAGCAGGTGGGAACGGTTCCGGAGGTGTGAAGCCGAGGAGGGGGACAGCACCAATCAGGGTGGAGAAACGGAGAAATACACGGAACTTTACACTTATCGAGTCAATGCGAAAGTTGGCGAAAAAGCGGGAAACCAGCGTTAACAAGCAGCAAACCAACAAGAGTACGATGATATCCCTCCTCGTTCCTTGGGAAAAATCTTCCTTTTTTCCATATTTGTAGCTGACAAGTTATTTAGACCAAGTTGTCGCTGCCATGAAGAGAGCTTCGGAAAGCCAAGCCAGCACTGCGAATCCCCTGAGGACACCACAGTACTTCAGTGCGATGAAGTTCGAAAGGGAGCAGAAACACCTGGAGCAGAAGAATATATACAGCCAACATATGCAAATGCAACAAACTCGTACTGTATGGTTATCCCTCTCCTAAGACTTATGAATTTGTTACTAACGCAGCATCAGGGTATTCCTCCTCAAGCTCGCGTCCCACATCCAGGCCAACATCACGCGCTTGCAAATGGTGTACCAATTCCTGTCCAACAGCGAGTTGGTGTCGCGACCCCACAAGGACCTAATGGGGTCCTTCAAGTCTCTCGGGCAGCACCGATACAAAACGGTACCAATGGTGTTCCATTGAGATCTCTTCCGGCACAATTGTCTCAGGGGCAGACACAACGTTACACTCCGGAACAGCTTGCCCACCTCCGCCGGATACAGCAGCAGCATACTGTTGCAGCGGCCGCGGCATCACAGGGCTATCCAACTTCTAATGCTCTTGGGACCCAAGCCTCACAGCCCAGCGCGCAAAGCATGCAAACGATACTTCAGCAAACCCAACAAGCAGCCCTCGGCCAAAATCAGCAAGTCAACGTGAATCAACAAGCCCCTCAGCAAAAACGTATCATCCCCCCCCCAATTGACTCTCAAGCATCAGGTTCCTCTCCCCGCATGCCACCCACTCCTACTACGGCCACCTCTACCCAACTAAAACCAGCTCAAATATTAATCCAAGAGATGGCGGCAATAGCGCAATACCAAAATCCTAACCTCCCACAGGAACGTGCGCGCGAGGCTACCCAGCCAACACTCGCATCTTACCACGCTCAGCTATCCCAGAATATCCAAGCCCAGGCACGGAGTCCCGTGAGGCCGAATCCGGCGCGAGTGGCGGTGGTCAATACTGGTCCTATGATCGGTGTCAACGGTCCGGTGAATCCGGCCGTGGACCCTCCCGCTGTCGGTGCTGGAAGCCCCAGAGTGAGTAATGGCCAAATCCCCACTCAGCTGCCGCAGCCACAACAGCCGCAAGCCAACCAACCGCAGCCGCAACCGCAATCTGTCTCACAACAGCAACCTATTTAGTCTTACCACGTGTTTTGTTATCCGTTCTATTCTATTTATTCCATTTTTATTTTTATCTTCCGCTTTCTCACCTTTTTTCCGGTCCAATTCGATTCGCTTTCGGCTTTTTTGCTTCAGGATGATTATTTCTCTTTTTAAAAAAAACACTTTTAGTCACATTTAGTCACGGGTGGGGACCTTTATTTTCCTTTAGGTTTTTTTCTCATTCTTCTCCTTTTCTCTTGTTGAGTTTCCTTGTGTCTGGGTGGGGTTTGTCCGTTTTCTCCTTTTCCTCTCATTTCTTGTTCATGCTCATTAGGGTTTTTTGCGGGGAGCTCGTGTGGGAATTGTACAGTTTTTTTTTCTCGTTGGTTTCTCGGTTCGCACCTTATTGTTGCGATTGTGAGATTTGCGGGTCTGCGTTTTCTGTTTGTCCGGCCTAGGAAAATGGAGAGATGGAGGAGTGGCGATGATGGGGTGACGGCGGCGGGGGTTTTGTGCATATATATACTTTATTCCAAGGTAGATAAAAGACAATGGAACGGGTAGATATTATCGGCTCACTTGTTTTCATTTGTTTTCTCAACCTCTCTTACCACCTTTTATTTATATTTCCAGTGTGGTTAGCAGTTAGCTCGGCTTGGGTGTTTTGCCGGGGTGATTTTGAAGTTGAAGCCGGATGCATGGCGTACGCATGAGAAATCACCCGATATTGGTGGTAATGAGAATTATGCGGGTTTGGAAGCTGGTGATATGCTAGGACTGGACCAATATTCTGTGTAATAGTGCTACCGGTATCGAACGGAATTGAGTGAGCTTTGCGTAGTCTGCCTACCACCTTTTAGCTGGGAGTCCTCCGGGGCGTATTTTTGGGGGGAAGCGCGTTGACTGGTCATAGTCCAAGATTCGTCGCTGAACTTCATTCCCAAGGAATCGGGTGTCACCAGTACGTCTAGATCGTCAGATAAGGGAACCTGTGCCACAAACTTATGATAACAACTTGGATTTAGGGTAAACAGTCCCGAAACCCTTACCTGGTACAAGTACGAGAAGCACCGTAGCATAGTACACTATGCCAAGTGAAAATTTATTTCTGCATTCACTGAGAGGAAAACATACATTTAAATTGGTTCAAATCCTGGCTACGACTCACATCGTGTCCCTTGCAGGTTGCATACTACTAGAGTAAAGGGTAAGTGCTCCTCGGAAAACATTTTGAGCATAACATGTCAGTACTAGCTCAAAAGTTTTCCTCCGATGCCCTTTCCACACCGAAAGTATCCGACTTCATCACCCCCTCTAACAGCACAATGTCAAGGAGAATATTCCAAAATTTGGCTGCGCATCGGCAAACCTGTAGATGATATTGGAAATGTTGTAAAAATTTTAAAATTTTATAAAGCAGTTGAGAAAGTGTCATTTATGTGTGGGGTATTGGTTGTCAAGTACGAGTACTTTTTTTTTTTTTGTATCGAGCTAAGTGGAAAAAATCTATGATAATATTTACAAAAAGGTTCTGTTAAGCTACAAAAAGTTGTATTGAGCTAAAACCTTGGCATAAGTACCATCACTATAGAACTCCGGGAAGAAGAAAATAGTAAGGACTGGCAATGAAATGAATAGAAATCCACTATATCAGGTAATAGGAAGAAGATAAAAGAACAATACTGCTTTGGAAAAGAGAGAGAAAAGGGAAAAAACATTCAGTAAACAAAATAATATATCACCAAAGTTGTAAAGTGAGAGAAAGGAAGATAGGAAAAAATAAGTCCTCTACTAATGCAGAAGAAAAAAAAAAAAAAAAAAAAAAAAAAGAATATGGTAGAAAAGAAAATCTTGTACCTATTATATTAGTAGAAAGAGAATAACAGAAGAAATAATACTGCCAAAGTTAAAGAAATAGTATCATGAAAATTGGATTCTATCTTCAAGTCATGAAATTGGTGGATAAAAAAAACAAAAGTAAAGGTCTTATATGCCACTAATGTTTTCAAAAATCCCCTCAAATGCCACAGCACACTCAGGTGCTATGGAATTTAATTATATAAATGTTTTTAATAATTAGATTCAAAATTTTAATTCTATAAATTTTTTTTTTATATGGTATAAAATTTAGAGTAAGAAAGTGTAAGTACATACAGCCAGTTGTCAGAAGTGTTCGTGATCTGAGACATGTTTAATTAGTGATTACACTATAGTGAGGTAGTGGGGTTGCGGTGTCAACCATCTGTACTCATGAATAAATAAACAACTAAATAAATAAATAAACAATCACAATTAACAATACTCCAATAATAATAAATTGGATAGAAATAATACTAGCTACTACTTTGTATAACCTCCTCTTGCTTCCAAAACAGCAGCTACCCTATTGTTAGGTGGATACAACCTGATAAACTTCAGAGTTGTCTAGACTAATTAAAATTGATTTCTGTAGACGGAGATTGTCTAGGAAGGCTCGGACTTCACTCGTTTTGTTTATGACTACTAAGAGTGAAGTAAGATAGGTAAAGTAGAATTGAATTGTAAAGATAATATTATATTGTTAAGGTCTCTTCTTGGTTGCTTGATGATATCTAAAGCTTGGGAGGCACTTCAATATTTAGATTCCGCATCTGAGTGTTTGTGGACTATATCAATTTATTATACAACTAGGTACCTCTCTGATTATAACTCGCAATGTCTAGTATTCTTAAAAGTTGGGAATACCTGGAGACTCTGAAAATCACCCTACACTTTTTAACAATTACGATATAACTAACTAGGAACCATACTGTTTCCAATAGTAATTATCCCATCATTAGAGTCTTTAGACTTATGGCCCAGTTCATAAGTCAAACTAAGTTGGCCTCAATTGTCTTCGTTATTGATGAAATGATCAGTTTCATCTGCAGGTTGTATCTACGAAGGTATCCATAATCGCAACCTTTCTAGATCACCTGACTTCAAACCTTCATAACTCCTTACCCAACCAAGAAATATCTTCCGGAGGACTTCCTACTTGGGTCGGATGCAAGACGAGATACCTTATGGATCTAAGTGT